GTGGTTGTTGGTTACTTATGCTGGTCTGATTTTCAAGAATATCTACACCAAGGTACCATTGCTGCCCTCTTCAGTTCAAGGTGAGTGCTCTATCACTTGAGCCACAGCGCCACTTCCGGTTTTCTAGTTGTTTATGGGCGATAAGAGTCTCATGGACTTTTCTGTCCAGGCTGGCTTTGAACTGTGATCCTCAGATCTCAACCTCCTCAGTACCTAGACTTACAGGCGTGAGCCACCAGCGCCCGGCTCCACAAGATTATTATCTCTAAAAAAATCTGGAAGTGGAGCTGTGACTCAAGTGGTATAGCACTAGCCTTAATCCAAAAAGCTCAGATACAGCACTCAGGCTGAATTCAAGCCCTGGGACTGGCAAGCACATACACAAACACAAATAGGGTAATATTGTGATTTCCTTATTACATTTAAAAAGCATTAACCACAATTTGTTGCCACTGGCTAACACCTCTCCTGGCTACTGAGGAGGCTGAGATCAGAGCATTGAGATTCAAAGCTAACATGGGCAGAAAAGACTATCTCCAGTTAACCCAGAAAAAGCTTAAAGTGGAGGTATGGCTCAAGTGGTAGAACAACTACCTTGAACAACAAAAAAAAACTAATCGAGAGCATGGGGCCCTTTGTTCAAGCCCCCATTGCCAGCAAACAGACACACATATAGACACATAGAAAAGCATTAGCCAGAATTTTGAAATTCAGTTAAGGATTGTGGCTAATAAGTTCTTGTGTGATATTTTTTCCTTTCCCTGTGCAGCCCTGGATGTGTGTGAGAAGTGGGGAGAAATGCCACCACTACAGCCCAAACACATGAGGGAGGCTGTTCGAAGGTTGAAGTCGAAGGGGCAGATCCCTAACTCAAAGCACAAAAAAATAATCTTCTTCTAGAACCAATCCTGGAAAGGCCCATTGCTGACAGGGGATGTCCTGGTGCTTCAGTAAGTAGCTGTCTTCTGAATATTCCATGGTGACAATTTTCATGTCTTTATCCAAACAAGTATTCATTGCACCTAAAAGGCATACAGTCTATTTCAATTTGTAATTAATTTTGGCCTCTTATGACATTTGAGGTATTTCAGTCTCTCAGCTCATTGGAAGAAGGTTCATGGATCTTCAGCATCTTTTAAACAGACGAGCTGCTTTCAGACAAAACCCTGAGAATTCTGATGGTGGTTTCCCACTGAAGCCTAAACGTGCTATTTAAAAAAAGAAAAAAAGTTATTACCTCTGGTTTTCAGTAGATGAAACAACCAGAAACTATCACTTGTAATACTTAGCATGGAAGATATGATGATTAGTGAAATAATTTGTGCTTGTTAACACTAAAGAATTTTCTGTGACTTTTGATGATCATTAAACTTTTCCAACTTGATATATGTTATTCATTTTGTGTCTAGCTCGTTGGAACAGGGAGAAGTTGATCTTCTTTTTAAAATGGTGTCCAAATAAAATTGCTCTTAGCTTTTTCATAAAATTTTGTGAGCTTTTCCTGTTTTCTGTGAGATCCATTAAAATTTTAATTCACACTAGGCACCGGTGGCTCATTCCTGTAATCCTAGCTACTCAGGAGGCTGAGAACTGAGGATCATGGTTCAAATCCAGCCTGGGCAGGAAAGTCTGTGAGACTTACCTCCAATTAACCACCAGAAAACTGGAAGTGGTGCTGAGACTCAAGTGGTAGAGTGCTAGTTTGAGCTGAAGAGCTCAGGGACACTGCCCAGGCCCAGAGTTCAAGCCCCACGACCAACAAAAAAATTCACAAATAAGCACTTCAAGCACTGGTTAAAACCATGAAAATCCTCAGCACTCAGAAGGCTGAGACAGGATGAGAGCTCAAGGTCAGCCTGGGTTACATATCTAGACATTGTCTCAAAACACAAATAAAATTAGAAGTCACACATTTCAAATACTATAGATATACCACAGCCAATATTGTTTAATAAGTTTTAATTTGCCTTTTATCAAGTGGTTCACAGAACCAGTACACTCAGGGTTTGATTAGATATTGCAACATTAAGGTTCCCAATACTGGCCAGGATTCCAGTTCATTACATACATTCTCATTGTTTCCTCAAACAGAGGGAAATGGAGTGACCTTTCATTGACAGTGGTTAGCAGTAATAAGGCTACTGTACATAATTGGCAATCCTCCAGAAGTCATTCCCATCTGTTGTTGCGGTGTCATAGAAATGTTTTGAAACTGTTCTCTTTTAAAGCTTCCTGAGCAGGTCTTAGAAAAAATTCCAGTTCTGTTTAGCACCCAAGTGGGGAAACAGCTTGGACTTACAAAGTTGGACAGATCTGATTTTTAGTATCTTTACATTAAAATTTATTGGCTTAGCCAATGGAGAAGACACTTCAGTGAGCATTTCACAAAGAAATGCTGTAAGACTCAGGCTAAGTCTTCACCAAAACTAATAAACTGACAAAAAAAAAAAAAGATATTCTCTGAGCAATAATAGGAACTTAACTCATGGGAACTTCACCTACTGCAATTGGGGGTACTGGATAAGGCTCAAACCAAATGAGAGGAAACTTAAGCATCTGTGTTGAAGCTTATACCAATGCATCTCCTTTTGTTCCATGGTAGACCAATGCCCATTGAATGATAGCTACTACCAACACCTGCACCAAGGTGAATGCAACATTCCTATTCTGGCAGGTCAGGGAGCAGCTATGCAAAAACTCCCATCTCTGAAAGGATGGTACATCACCAGACTCTCCAAAAGTGTGATAAATCACAGGACAGTAACACTTTTACAGTTGTCAACCTGATGTCATCATACTAGCTTGTGTACCAAAATTCACAATTTGACATACATACATGAATACATTCATGTGCATGTAAATGTAACCAAGTTCTCATACAGGAATACTTCTAATTACCTTCTTTCTACCAGTAACTACATAAATGAGTTTTAAGTAAAAGCACTTAAGAGGTATGTGAGGGTTAAAGAATTTATCCCTCATCTATAATGCATATCACCTTTCAGAACCATGGAAAAGGAGTGAACTACAAAGTCAAAAGCAGCTATCATGTCAGAATCTACTTTTTCTTACATCAGAGACTTAGGTTAATTGTTCCAGTGAGTTGAAAAGAATTTTGAGATTGACAGCCATGCCTTCTGTCCAGTTAGATTTAACTCTAGTCCATACACACAAAAGCATAACCAATACATGCATGTAAACAAAATCCAGATGACCATAGATGGCACGCCACTGTAAATGCTTCACAGCTGAAATGACAATGTGCAGTGACTACAGGCTCGGAGAGGTAGCAGTGCCCTCCTCCAGACGTTTCCTTGAGGTATGGTTATTTCTTGTTCAGTCTTACAGCTCCAAGGCAGAAAACAATTGTGGGGAGGGGAGTATACTACTATTTAATTCTAGTCTCCAATTTTACACTTAACCTGAAGATTACCACTTCATAATTCTTCATTGTGAAAAAAATCCCCTCCATGAGTAATAATATGAGATTATACAAGATGATTTTTCTATTAAAATCCATGGGATATTTACTACCCTACCACATTTCAAAAGGGAAGATTTCAAGACACAATATCGCATAGACAAGAACTCAAGTTCAGAGAACCAGAAACGACAGCTCTGGCCATTAAGGGGTCTCCTTGATACCTACCAGATGGATTTCTATGAGTTTAAGGTAAGGCATACCAGGCAATGCCTATTAGGTGCTTTCTTTGCATGGAGGGATACAAGTAGAATATGGCGGGCAAGAAAGGAAAAGAATTGAATGTGATTTTAAATCAACTCAGGCGAGCCCAAGGTTGAATAATTCTATTTTCCAGCTAATGGCTATCCCTCATCTTTCCTCCTGTAAAAATATTAGAAATGTCACATTGAGAAGATGAGCAATCCATCGGTTCAACATGTTGCTTTTAAAAGCACTAAGAGGCAGACTGGAGGACATATTTGCTCTCTTGGTTGTGTATCACCAAGCAACTCGTTTTAATTCTCTTGGGAGGCCATCATTTCAAATATTCCTCTTAAAATTCCCGTACCCATGTACAGTTTCCTAGAATACTTTTTTAGACAACAGACTCCTAGTTTCTGATTTGCTAAAGTACTTCCTTTTCCACAAGGTGGGGAGATAAAAGCCTAGATCTAGGGTCCTTTTTCCTGACAAACACTCCCGTCAGCTTTCATATTTGCAGAACAGCAGCTATATTTCAAAGACATATAAAATACCTCTGCCTCCAGATCTCTTTTGCTGTTCTCTGGACCTCTGGTCCCTTTACCACATATTTGATGATGTTACTAGGTATACATCAGTAATTTAAATGTACTGGTTTTACATGAGATGCTGTCTTGTGTTGTCCACAGTACCCTGCCTGTTGGTTCCTAGAGGACAGTCAAACTTTTGGCTGGAGCAGCACATTGACCCCTCTTCCCTCTGTACAAAGCTTCCATGTCTTTCCTGAGTTCTAACAGCTTGCTGCCATAGTAATTCATCACTCTTCCATAAATACATTACCATCTACTAGCTATGCTGAACCTCACTCATCAATTTGTAGGTATTCATAGTCCTGCTTCTGACCTTTCTTAGCTTATATGTTTTATCATCTTTATGTTGTTCCTTTCTTGACTTTTTGTTTTTGTTTATCTCTTCTGATTTGCTTGGGATTTAGGGATATTTGATGATGTTGTAAAATATTACTTTTTTAAGAATCTTAAAAGTTGAACTATGAACAGATTCTTAGGAAACGTCCAGAGAGATGTTTTATTTTTTTCTAAGTCTAATTTTGTTTCCTAAGCCTGACAAATTTCCACAATCCCATAGTAAATGTTTTAAAGGTTGCCTTCATAAAAAGACTTGACAAAAGTCTGAATAAATTAGACCTATCTCTTCACAAATGCATGTTTCTTTTTAACCTCCAAAAAACTAGAGGATAGCTAGACATGGTGGTGCATGCCTATAATCCCAACCTTTGGGAGGCTGAGGCAGAAAAATATCAAGTTTGAAGCCAGCCTGGGCTGCTTGGCAAGACTTTTATCTCAGACACACACATGAGCACACAAAGCTGGGGATGAGGCTCAACTGGAAGACTGCTTGGCTAGCAAGCATGAGGCCCTGAGTTCAAACTCAAGTACCATCAAAAAAAAAGAAAAACCAAGTATACAAGTCAAGCATGATTTTTTTTCATAAAATCACACTTTTTTTTTCTTTCAAAAGGTCATGTACAATTAAGACTTCAATGACATCATCAACTTATTGTTTTGTCATCTTGCCAAGCCAAGGTGAGTTAGCTGATGAACTTCTGTGTGCCACCAAGCAGTATGGGTAAAAGAAGAGTCTGGAAAGTGAGCTAAGAAAAACAACTCTTACAGGGCAAGGGAGAAAATGTAGATTAGAAGAAGGGGTTTGTTTTTACTTTAGTTAAAAGTACATGATTTTAAAAAGCCACAGTAACAGGAATGAGAGTCAACAGGCTGACATGTTTATGTTGAAGTTTAAAACACACAGCACCCAAACCACCAAGTGCTGAGGTGAGCACTGGCAAAAAAAATCACAGTGCTGGGAAAGCAGATGACCAGGAACCCAGGGAGACAGAGGAAGTAGCCTTTCAGGGACAGCTGTGGAGGATGTGGGCATAACTTGTAGGAGCTCAGAATTGAGCTCCCTACTGATTCCTACCACAATATGCCTTCAGCCACCTCAGATTAAGTTGTTTTTTTCCTTGAGTTGAATTTCAAATAAATTATGTTACAGAAGGGAAAGATGATATGGCTGAGTCACAACTGTTAACTTTCTCCCATAGCATCATGATGAAATTGCAACAGAATGGAAGCTTGACCTGAAATACCTGACTGGCATACCAGCCAAGTAAGGGCCTGGTTCCCATTACAAACCAGGCAGAGTCCGGCAATCTCTTATTCTGTGCTCCTCCTGTTCCCACCTCTTTGCTTAGCTATTTCCTGTCCTCCTCCACTAGCCTGGCTAAAAGTCAGGCCAAAGACTTTTCAGGTCTGCTGCAGGAAGTTCTATGTCATGGAATCTGGTGGCTGTGTGCATCACTGAGATGGCTTCTGCCATTTGTTCTCACGGGGCATTAAGGGAACCAAAGATCTCTGCTACAAAACAAGATAAAATGGCCCTACCATGTGAAAATTCCACCTATTATGCAGAGGACCTAAAGGCCTTATACAGCCAAGACAAGATGCTGAGCCACATATAAAGCTACCCCTATTTTCTAGGATGTGGTCCTGCGTTGCCCTATCTGCCATCCTGTTAGAACAGTGAGTGGAAAGCACACAACAAGTTAAAGTGCACACTCTCAGCCCCTCTGGCACCCACAACAGACAGTGCCCTCTGTGCTAGATGGTGCTATTGCTGGTGATCTCTTCTCTCCTTGGCACAGATGGCAGAGCCACTGCTGTCAGAGCTCAAAGAGGGGGTTATATTTCCTAATCTCCTGGAGAAGTCTTTCTTTGTCCTGGTTGGCACTGGCCAATGCTTGTTTAGTTTCTGTGAGTTCTTTTTGTAGGGTAGGCAGTTCTTTCACCTAAGGAGCAATAAGAAATTCACATTAGCAAACATGGTAATACCATCTGGCAACAACATCCAGAGAAGGGGAACAAGGAGGAAGAACTCAAACAGAAAAACCAACAGGTCAGGTCAATGATCAAGAGAATTGAACCAGACCTTTCCAAGAGCCTAACTGCCCTTTGGATTTCCTCAGTATAGGGATCACAATAGGTGGAGAATGTGAGCAGCAGCCACTCAGCACCAGCTATGGCTTACATCCTCCAGACAGCACCTTCAGAAGCTGCTGTTAGGGGTCAGGAGGCCAAACCACACAGGTCACACAATGGGAAAGTAGCCTTTTCAGCCCTCCAGGGTTTTTTTTTAATCAGCTTTCACAATCGTAGCCCCTAAGCTTTTAGGAAGATACAGTTCTCACCTGCTGTCCAAAAACCTCTTCTGTGGGCATGAGGAACACCTGTTCTTTTGCAGAATGGCTCTTTTCACCTTTAGGAATTTCTACCAATGGTCTATCCTGAGCAGCACCTGGAAAAAAAGGCAAAGTTCAAATTAACAAAACTGCTACTCACAAGAGAAAAAAGGCAGAGAGGCCAGGAGGCCAATGACACTCACCACTGATGTGGAAGACACCGTCATCACTCCGCCTTAGCACAATGTGCTCCATGGCCACTGTGATAGGGACAGGGCCAGGAGACGTTGGATAGATTGGGGGGATATCATCCTGAGGAAAGAGGAAAACTATATGATATCCTCCTTCCAGCTCAGGGCAATGCAGATAACAAACCAGCTTCCCCCACTCAACTTGAAGCAGTTGTATGCCACTGGTTCTCCACACGTCTGCATAATTAAATGTCTCCCATTTTAAAGATGCCGAAACAGGGCCAGACAACCTAAGGGCTTACACATGAGTTTGCTGCATGCCAAATTCAGTGTCAGGTTAGAAACAAGGTTTCCTTACCCAACCAAGCCTTTTAATCCACACATTTATGTGCCCCTAAACACTGGCAGAGAAAACTAGTACTTCTCATTTGATCTTTGCTGAATATTACCATGATAATAGGTTAACATTTGTGGTACTAGAATTTCAGGCTTGAGAAGACTAGACAAAAACTAAGGACTCTCTCACCTTTAGTGTAATACTGGAGTTCAGGAGCTCGATTTGCATGGGGACCACCACTGGGACTTCCTCATCCTCCAAGAAGGGCCCCAGACCATTGAGCACTGAAGTGAGCATCTCAAGGTCACAGCCCTGAAGGGAGAAATTCAGGAAGCCATTTTGTGTGGCCAGCGGGGAGTGAACAGCTGCACCAGGGCCCACTTCGAAGCGAAGACGCACAGCTGGCCTGCTATGACAGCCAGTCTTCAAATTTGAGGATTCCTGGAAGCTTGCACCTTTAAGAAAGACAAAGAAAATAAGTCAACACAAGAACTATTTTGAGCACTTTATATATATATTGTATATTCATAATGACACTGTGGTCAAAAGGATTATCATCGTATTCATTTTATCTGCCCATTGAAGAATTTAAAGGCAAGCCGGGCGCTGGTGGCTCACGCCTGTAATCCTAGCTACTCAGGAGGCTGAGATCTGAGGATTGCGGTTCAAAGCCAGCCCGGGCAAGAGAGACCGTGAGACTCCTATCTCCAATAAAACACCAGAAAACCGGAAGTGGCGCTGTAGCTCAAGTGGTAGAGCGCTTGCCTTGAGCTGAAGAGCTGAGGGACAGCGCCCA